CATAGCTCTGATCTAGACGTACTAATTCCTAAGTGCCGTACAAAGCTCTTTCAATTTAGTTACTTTAATCGTGTCGCTAAACTATGGAATACCTTACCTGTATCCACTCGTATTATTAGTTCTCTCAATCAGTTTAAATCTCACGTACTCCAACGCTATTCCGCTGCTTTTCGTACAAACTATGACGTCACTAACTTCAACACCTGGAAGTCGATCTGCTGCAAATGCAGCAGGTCACGTGATCTTCTATTAGTTGGTAACTGCTGCTATTAGGACTTTCTATCGGCCGCATAAGAGATTTATTCCTATCGTTTTCGTTTTTGCTTTTATTATTTTATATACTTTTTTATATACTTTTTACACTGTCTATTGTTTACATAGTTAGTATTTGTATATTTCTCGTAAGGGCACTCTTAATTTGGAGCCTCCCTCTGTTGTGTGTCCCGCACCCTTGTCCTCCGTTCTCTTCTGTGTCTTGTTCATATGTATATTTTAGTCCTTTTAGTATTGTAAGTATGGTGAAAGCGATTAAAAAAAAAAAATCTCAAAAGATCCATAGCTTTTAACTTCCCCAGAAATGTAGGCAAACAGTAGTGCTTACTGCAGTGACGAAGAGACAGGAGCCGGTTCCTCTCGTAAGATATGCAAGAGGGTTGATAATACTTCTGATGTCTCAGGTCAGGTCCACGAACATTGTAAGAGCTTGTAGTAAAATGGGCGGTATTATTTAACAAAGAACAACAAGGATCAGGATTTCTTTCAACGTCAACAAAGATAATTAGATCAGAGGCAGGCAGGAAGAGACACACAAAGCCGAGTTTGTTCCAGCTAACGATCGGTCAACTTGGATTGTAACTCGGAAAATCTCTGCGGAAAATAAAATGTAACCTCAGTATCCAAAAGAAGGCTGGTTGTAAAGCACGTTTCTTAGCTGTACCGACATGGTGAAATATACTTAAAAAACCGGAACACAGCAGCAGAATTAGACACAAATTGCGGAGACAATTAGACACAAATTTCGTGGCTGACATCATGGCGCCTGTCACAAATCAATCAAGTTGTACCACCAAAAAGCTTCAGCTTAACTGAGGAGTTGTTTATGGGTGGGTCTCCTAACTGTGTGATAGCTGAGACGTCGTTCAAGCCAATTACATTACATGTAGCTCCAGAGTCTACTTGACATGCAAAGGTTGTAGTGAAGTCTTCTTTAGCTGATTTGCTGAAAGCCACTGTTTTGCTTTACTAGAGACACAGTTTCCGCTTGCAAACAGCTTTCATCAAGACTGTCATCCACGTCTTCTTCGAATTGTTTAACCTTCTTTGACGATCGGCAACAGACGCAAAAAGGCCCACTTGCTGCACGTTTTTTTGAACGCGGAACAATCTGTTCTTCTTTCATGACTGTGTTTACGACTGCAATATTTACAGGTCAGTTCGAAAGAACCTTCGAATTTCTTTTTTTCTGATTTCTTCTCTAAATTCGACGATCTTCCTCCATCTCTCCTCTCACTCCGACCCCTGTAGCGAAAGTTCTTGTCGCCTAATTTCTTTACGTCTTCTATCTTGTTCTCCTCAACGCCTACCATCGTCTTGATTTGTTGCGAAGCGATTTCACTCGTGATGCTAATGTGTATGGCTTTCTTCAAGTCCAGGGACTTTTCTCTCAAGAGTCTCACCTTGTCACCTTGATTCTGTACGCCAACAACGAGCCTGTCCCTGATAAATTCGTCTGTAAGCGCACCGTATTCGCAGGTCGCGGCTAATTTTCTCAGACGTGTGACATAGCTTTCGATAGGTTCTTCGCTTTGCTGCACACACGTATTAAAAACATACCGTTCGTACACCAAATTTCTCCTGGGCTTGAAGTAGCTTTCCCAGGCTTCTAAACATTTGTCGATTTTGCTCTGGTCTTCCTTTGAAAGGTTTAAGTTGAGTAGTATCTAAAGACATTCTCTGCCCATCGATGAACGCAAAGTCACTAAAAAGACCGATTCTTGTCGCTTATCAAGGCCTGTTTCTGTCTCAAAGTCGCACCATTGCTGCTTGAAAAAGTCCCAGTTGCCAGTAACGTCACCGTGACACTTCATACGACTTGCTAGCGGAAAATTAGGGGGAAATAACGTGAAGATAAATTACGGCAGTAAGTTAAACTGAATCAGGTGCTGATGATGATGGTGTGGCGATTTGCGCGCCCGACTCCACGTGGTAGTTGTCTGACTGCATCTTGAGTTCTTCTCACACTTGGAGCCCAAGATTCTCTTTCAAATTACGAACAATAAAAGGTAACAGGATCAGCAAAGTACCTTCGACGATTAATTTTCGAAAAACGGTGCGGAATCCTCAAAAAATGGGTCAGGGACCGTGCAGCAAGTTTTCGAGCGGGGGGGCTAAAGAAGAATGCGCGAAGGAAATTTTTTCCGATTTACTCCGATTTGCAAAATAGTCGGGGGGCTAAGGCCACCCCAGCCCCTCCTTCTGCGCGGTCCCTGTGAGTAAATAAGTATCTGCAAAATTCGCCCGCACTGAAATAACGGTTTGGCGTGTAGGTTAATAAATAACTTATTAGATGTTTTGTTCTGTCATATCGCTGACTATTTTTACTCGTTATTTGTATTTTGACTCGCCCCCCGGGCTCGTCAAAATACTCAGCGATACAACAAAACAAAACGCCTAAGAAGATAAATCTCTTGTACTTTTTAACTAAGTTAGGATTGGGTCTTTATGTCATGTCATCAAAACTAGGTCTACCGAAAAAAACAAAAACCAAAAAAAATTGGGAGGAGTAAGGTAAAATGTTCGAAAGCCAAACAACTCTTTCTGGTATTTACTTACTGAGACGCACAAAAAGCATTAAATGACAACGCCATAAAGTACTACCTCCTTGTATTTTCCTTATAATGTAAGAGGAACAGAATTATTTCAACAATGCCAATCAATGTTTCTTTTATTCTCTGCAGAGACTGATTAATATGAAAATGTACGACAAGCAGCTGTATGCAAACGTCAAGGATTTGATAGCGTAGTTAACTGGATACACTTCATCCACAGTGCGTAATTGCCTTAGTGTTTGAATGCTTTGCCACAGCAAGTTTCAGGAAGTAATCACCTTTTATGGAAAGTTATAATGAACAAAACTGGTCGAGAATTGTTTTTCTGGCGGAGAAATAATTTTGTCTGTCGAGAAATACGGTCCGCCATTTTAGTTTTTACGACATGATCACGTTTTGGTACTTAAACGCCCGCTGACCAGCATACGCGCATCTAAATTCTCGATTAACGAAAATATCTTGACTAACCAAAACAATTCTCGATCGACGAAAAATTCTCAACCTGCAGAAATATTGCTCGACTGATGGATAAGTTTTATTTCTCGATCATTTAGAGTATTTCTGGACTATCACAAATACTTCTCGTGAGAGAGAATTATTTCTCGACCGATGAAAAACTTTTCTCGATCGTCAAAAATATTATTTTTCAGCCAACAAAATAGTTCTCCACTACTTTTGTCCACAATCTTTGTTTAAAGCGCTTTACTTGCATTGATAGAGTAAGCCAAGTGATATTAGGCTGTTAGGCTGAAACGTTTTAAGTTAATTGATTTTAGCTTTGTTAAAGGGCAAAAGACTATTATTAAGTTTTGTTTTCCCGTAAAACTATATTCTTATTTTTTTTCAAACAATTTTTAAAATGCTTCATTAAATGTACCACATGTATGGTCGACAAGTTAAATTCTGAAAGTTAGGACGGCGTACTGACGTTAGATGGCGCATTTTGATATCTTTTTATTGTGACCGGACCTCTAAGAAAAAGTCTTGTTTTCCAGATGGATGCGATCCCACTCTGTATGCCATTGTTGTGTAGAGATTAAGAAAATTACTGAAAACAGTCATACCGTGAAACCAGGTTGTTTGCTAGAAAATCTTTATGCACATGTCTTGATTTCTGCTAAACTGCATTGCCTCGCGTGGCAAATTCATTTTCTTTTACACTAAAAGGTATATTTCATTAGACAACTTGATCCGTTTCTTCTTTATGGAAAGTATGTGGTTTGACCGAAAGTCCGATAATTTTGTGCTTAGCAGAGCCTACAACTCAGCCAAACTTGTCTTAGACGCGTGTCTGAGCTTTTTTTCGTCGATACCGTATTGAAGTGATTGCTTTAAAATGTTTCTCTAATAAAAGTGTTGAAAAATTCCGAGCGGACTCTGTCTGCGTGATGATGCAGTGCAAAAGTCACTAAAAAACTTTTTCACTTTTGTCCATCTTAACCCATCTCTTTCTCCTTTAAAGAACTGACGGTATTAAACCAATGTCACCTGGGCGTTAGCTAAAAGCCTCGGAAGGTTTTACGAGCGACCTTTTTTCGAGACCACTTGAGAGGTGGCACATCTATCGAGGAATGACAGTTAATTTTTTCCGTATCCGACGAATGACGCTTAAGAGGGACTTTCTGCCTGTAAATACCACGGATAGGTGTGCAAGATGGAAACATCGAAATCTCCCAAACTTTGTAGCATTAAAGCCCTTATGAAACTTTTTTAGAAAATGCAGGATTCAGTTTCTTGCGATTGATATTTTCAAAAAACATAACTTTGGAATTTTCACCTCCGAGAGGCCCTTAAACCACCGAAAAATGTGCTTCGCATCCTCGCGTGATGAAAAGAAACGGAATCAAATACCATGACTATAGCGATATAAGATGATTTTTTCCTGTGACCCTTCCTTTTGTATGAAAACGTTGTTGTAATTTCAAAAGATTGCAATCTAAATATTTAAATTTTTCAAAATTACCTTCTAAGACAGTTTCATCGCGACTATCAATTTTGCCATTTTTTAACGGCAAAAAACCCTTCCTGGTACATGACTTTCGTTGTGCAAATGCTATTCCAGAGAAAGAGCAATCCTTTTTCTTTCAATTTATGAAATAAAATTTTAGGGCAATTCAAACGGCAAGTTTTGAGAACTGAAAACATCAACGGTACTTGCGTGAAATTTACAACTTTTGAACTTGCGGTTGCAATGACGAATTCAAGCAGTACCAGAGTGAACTTGGCAGCAGTTTAAATACTTCGAGAATTCGATCCTTTTCCACTAGTTCAAAAACTAAACAAAAGATGATGACTTCGTAGCGACAATTATCTGAAAGGAAAAGCATTTTTATTGCGCGAAATTGAGCTCAAAGCCTCTTGACAACACTTCCAGTACCTGAGCATTTGTTTACTTTGAAGCCTGACTTGTACCAGTTATCTAAATATGAAAAGTATTCATCAAAATGTTCGCATTTCGTTTGAAAGATATCGTACAATGATGGAAGAATAGGAGAAACATTTACTTACCTCACATACATATATTGTTGAAAAAAGACCAAAATTCCTCAGCTAAACTAGATTACACCCAGGTGGGGGGGTGACTACACCCAGGTG